AACTTTTCCAAAAAATTGCATTATCATGTTCAAAATTGCAGTTCTCTGTTCTGTGATGAAATACCGAATATAGGCGAGATGTGTAGTAACGTTGTGTTATGTACACTGTACAGCCTGCGCCATGGAGCCAAACCAAACCAAATGATCAGCTGAATCAGTACTGAATGCATGAGTCATCTCTATACACAATGACAGGGTAGAAAAAATTAAAACATACCCTGTATTATTGGTATAAAAATATGATAAAAATGAGAAAAAGGTACAGTGAACCCTCACTTTACGCGGTTAATTCAACCCACGGCGGCCCGCATAAAGTGAGAAACGCGTAAAGTGAACAACATAACATATGGGATTAATTGAAATAGAGACCGGGCCGACCCCCAAACTCCACTTTTTTAGACACAATACCTACGTTGTAGTAAGAATAACTTCTTAATTTTATGATGGCATGCACACACAATTAATAATTAAGAGAAATATCAATAATATTAGGTTTTTTTAACACTTACATTAGTAGAAAAGATGGCTGGGCACAAGGGGATGGGGGGTTGGTTCCGAGGCAGAGGGCAGATTATTGGCCCTCACCTGTATCACTTGTATCAATTGTATCACTATCCACCACAGAAACTTGCAGGGCCTCTTTGTCAAACCCCTCAAAGTCCATATAAGTCCATATCCTCACTATCATTATCACTATCACTGACTTGGGCCGGCTGTGGTGGGTGGCGGGTGAAGAACTCGGTAATGTTTTGATGACTGGGCGACCTTGTGCGCACCCTGCTCGCGCTGCTCTCCGCGTAAAAGGGTACACACACCGCGGAAAGTGAGCATTCCGGTTTCGGCAGGGTACCGCGTAAACGTGGAAACGCGTAAAGTGGGACCGTGTAATGCGAGGGTTGACTGTATTTTAAAAACTAAAGTACAATTTAATTTTTTGTAAATTAATTACATTGTATTAATAATTGTTATAAATATTTTTTGGTAAAGTAATTGTTGTAAAACAAAATTGTTTGACTAAATAAATATATATTTTTAGAATTTTAATTTTACTAGTTACAAAAAATAAAAAAAGTGATTTATCACAATTTTTTTTCTTTAGATCTGGCAATAGACACGAGCGAGAATAAGTACTGACTAGACGTGATGGCCGAATCTGCCCCCAAAACCAGGAAAATATCAGGGCCAAAACTCTCGTATGTTGTGGGCCCGGGGAAGGAGTTCATTCCCAGCGAGGTGTCGACTTGGAGAGCCATTCTTCAGAGAGGGATTCGTCTGCATGAGGAAAAGCTCCTCATTGATGACATCCAAAGGTCTAAATACCCTATTTGAGAGATGACTGACGAGCTGGCTTCACTCGTGATGACTCAGTGGAGGACGTCGAATGTTAAGTTCTCCCCGCCTGTGACAATCACGGAAAAATCGCTCTCATATAAGATCTTGTTGTCATGGGAGATGACAGACGTTGAGAATGGGAGAGTTAAGTCTGCTACCCAAGAGAAGAGGATGGCTGATCTGGATAAACTCTGTGAAGTCTGCATTTGCAAGTATCAGATCTTCTTGTGCAGCCCAAAGGGAAGTGGATGCTCAGGATGCTCCCTCAAGGCCCATGTGAACTGTAATTGTCCTTTGGAGGTGAAGATTCCTAAACTGGACCTTCAGTGGCTGTACTACCAGAGAGTGAAGACTTCTAAAACTTCAGGAATCCAGATGTCTTCTGTAGACTTCAAAGACAGCAAGAGACAGATCAAAGAGCAAAGAGAAAGGAAGCTGAAGAAGCTTCTGCTGTGAAGAGGAAGAAGAAAGAGCAGTCTACTAAAGAGGAGCTTCTCATGAAAGACTTTGAGGAGTACGAAGAGCCAAACTTGGAAGAAGCTGCAAAAGAAGCCTCTGAAGCTCCTATGGACGTTCCCGCTGAAGAACCTGCCGAAACTCCAACTTTTGCTCCACGAAACTACATGAATATCCAAGGGACAGCTTCAGCAGCTTTGAGGTACAAGGTGGCAAATGTTCCGGCAGCTGCAGTTGCCACTGGCTTCCTGAACGACCTCATCAAGGCCAGTCATCTTTCTAAAGACAAGGCTTACTTGGCCACAGATGGCCAGAAAATCTGGAGGACCAAGGAGGAAATAATGAGTTGAAGCTCTCACGTAAAGGACAGAGGAGGATAAGATCTCTGGAATATTCTTTGATGGCAAGCAGGATAGGAACACAAAGGTGTTGAAATATGATGAAGTGACAGTGAGATTTCATCCTGACAAAGTGATCGAGGGGCATTACTATCACTTGAGAGCCTCAAGGAAAGTACCTCTTCCACTTCACTCCCGAGGAACCTGAGGAAGGGCCTGCATGAGTGGCTTCTGGATCACGGAGCTGACGAGAGCCTTGTAATGATTGGAGGAGATTCTGCCAACACCAACATGGGGTGGTCTGGAGACACCATAGCCCTATTGGAGAAGATGCTGGGTCGCAAGTGCCACTGGATGATCTGTCAGCTCCATGTGAACGAGCTCCCCATGAGGCACTTAATCATCAAGCTGGACGGCCCTGTAACTCCCCAGTCAGGCTTCAGTGGGCCTATTGGAAAACTTCTTGAGAAAGTGAATGAACTTGAGGTCAACTTCAAACCAGTGGAATGAACTGAAGATATCATAGAGCTGCCAGTAGAGATAGTCAAATCTCTCTCTACAGACCAACACAACCACTATCTTCTGATCAAAGCCATCAGGTCTGAAAGTCTCAGTCCACAGTTGGCTGGTCTCAAATGCAGACCTCTGAACCAATACAGGTGACTCACTATTGCACAAGCCATCTTGCTATTGTGGATGAGGGAGCACAGACTGAAGGGGGAGGTGTTGAGGAGGCTCGAGGTCCTCGTGAAGTTCTGTCTTAACTTCTACTTCAAAATGTACTACGACATCAAAGTGAAGCACCACCTCAAGTTTGATCCTAAACACGTTTCAAGCCTGAGGCTGCTGAGGAACCAGACTCTCGAGGTCAGGAACACCATCTCTGCTGCAGTGATAAGAGGAGCTTACCATGCACATCCTGAGAACATCCTGGCTTCATTCCTTTGCAGTGAGGATGAGCATCAGAGAGCTTTTGGTGTGAAGCAGATGGAGAAGATCAGAGTGTCGGGCTCCGCTACAGACATCTCCACCTCACCACACATGGGAAAACATAGCATACCTCATCATAATAATTCTACACCATCTTACACTTAGTACTATCATCTAAACATCTCTAGAAAAAATGAACGAATTAAATCCAATTTAAATTGCAATAAACATGCACAACGAGATCGTTGAGTGTTTCTTGACTTGTAAATAAAGACTGTGGACGCTCCCGTATAGCAGTCAATGTGACCCAAAATGTGGTCGCCACAGGAGATCCGATAGTGCCATAATTACAGTGCAGTAAATAATTTTTTCTTTAGCCACAAATCAAGTAGACATGAGATTACTGCCATATGATCAGTATTTGCAGTGTTTTTACCCCATTAATTCCCTCTTCTTTCATGGCCTGACCACTACAGGTGATTCATGATCATATACAGTATAAAGAAATAAGGAAAAAAATCATAATTAAAATAAAAGTTGTCATATCAGTGTTTTTGTTAATATCATCCAAAAAACAAATGTTGAAAATATGAAAGAAATACTGAGTACGTACACACGTCTTGTGGTGCTAACTGTCTCCTCTACCTTTACGGTCTGTCATCCTACATACAAATAGGGCAGCGGATATTTTCCCATGACCGGCTAAGTTCCTACTAATGTTATTTTACCGTGAGTGCGCTGTGATGGCAAATCATCCATTACCGGCGAATGTGAGAACGATATTTGACAGTGACTCTAGTGGCATTTGTCATTTATTTCGCCATGAGTCGATCATTGTGTAGCTATAAACATAACTAACTATATTTCTGTTGTGCATGGAAATTTATCATTAGAAAAAAGGCAACATTTACTAGAACCTGACCTAACCAACCAAAGAAACCTACCTAACCTTACCTAACTTCCTAGCCGGGGGCTGACCCCCCGGTCACGGTAAAATATCCACTACGTACAAATAGGTTCCCATTCATATACTCTACCTAATCTTCCTCAAAGAATTTAAAAGCACCACCTACAAACAAAATGTTTGCATCCACAGTCGCCATGTTTTTAAGTGATTGAATTTAGTAATCTCAAATGCACAATGACATCATCAGCCTTGACGAATCAGAACTAATGCCAGACACACAGCGGTAGATAGCAAAGCTCCGAGAAAAGACAGCCACTTTGACATGGATATTCTTGAGGAAGAAACAATTTTCTTCAATATAAGTTTTTTGTCAACTTGGTCATTCATAGAAGTGTCCTAGAGTATTACACTGAAGGCTTTAAAAGAACAGAAACTAATAATATAGCCATGATAAGGTTGACATATATGTTAATATCACATTAATACCCCAAGCACACAGATCAAACTCATCACTGAATGTTACTTCTAGTGGGTTACCTAAATACATTTTCATTCAAGAAGAACTAAAAGGAAGACTACCGGATAAATTTTCTTTTCATTTTCAAAGATAACAATATAGGAAGCCAATGTGAACTTGCGACGCCATCCTTATCATTCTCACCTTGATCTTGGTTGAAACCAGCATATGCTAGGCCGTTACCATATGGATTTTTAGGTCCTAAATTCATTGCGGTGATTTTCAAATAAGGGAAATGTCTTTTAAACTCTCCAGCTCCGTCTGTATGACATTTCTCTCCAGTCACCTGCTGATCTACGCCATACGTTCCAATAATACGAACGTTTGTAGAGAATAGGTACTTCTATGTGGCTTATTTTTTACCTAAAATTCATATAATTAAACAATAAAGATTTAAATATGTATTAAAAAACATGAAATATACCACACAGCCGAGTGTGAGTATAGATATGTCTTTAAAAGAGTCAATCATACTAGTTTAAATATAGTAACATCAAAACAAGGAGTGACGACCAATCACATGACGAGAGGCGTTACCATAGAAACGGTGTAAACAACATGGCGTCAATCTCACGTCATAATGTAGCGTCGGGAGGGATTTACGACCTTCCTAGAGTGTCCTACAGTGAGTCTACAAGATTACTGCTAAAGGGTAATTACAACATTACTTCTGTTGGAAATTATTCCCTTATCAGCTAGAGAATGGAATGTCTTCCTCCATGGATATTAAAATGATGTAGTGAATCCCTCCCAGGCAATATTTACCATCGCTCTGCTTAACTAAAGCTAGAATGAAAGTGTTTACTTCATAAAAGAAAGTTATATATCATTGATTCCTATGACTTACAATTCTCAGTTACTTTCACTCACAGTATTTACTCATGGGGCTTTTGCCATTAAAACTTTATCAATTTACATCCTGGTGTTACATACACTGGATATTTGTTGAAACGTTATTTACAATCTGTTAAATAGATAAATGGAAACGAGAATGCACAGACCCTATAAGTACTTGACCTAACAAACCTAACCTAAAGTAACTTACCTAACCTTTTAAGACATGACTAACAACACCTAACAAACCATGGGTATATTAGGTTAGGTTCTATGGGGTATGTTAGGTCAGATTCTATTAGGTTCTATGAATTGTCGTTTCCATTTTTGTGTTTAATATCTTGATATAAGTGTGTAGAAATTTTTTCAACCAAATTGGACAATTCCTTCTTGTGGTAGCCGTTATCTACGCCTTTACCGATTGTAATTAACGTTTCCACGAAGTTTCGTTCAAGTCTATCAACTCATTCTTAAAACACTACTTTTTTTTTTACTAGGGATTAGCCCACCTGGGCAGGGGTCACTAACGCACATCGAGGCCTGACGGGGGGGTGAGAATATAATAATAATAATAATAATAAAGAGTCATAAATAAATAGAAAAATTTAAAAAAAAGATCGCTAGTGAGAAATGATATATGTATGTTGTGTTATCAAAGTAAGAGAAACAATTGCATGTAAATGAGACAGTCAGATCAGCAACCTGGCACTTGGTCACAAATTTTGTGATGCCATATGGCAGCAGGGTCTACCATTAGACAATACATTATGCTTCCGGTATCTTCCGAGGCGGTAGCACCTCCCTGTTTGTTAGCTGCCTACTACCTACTATCAGACAAATACTTTTTACTTTTATCCTCTTCACCAAATGATCGGCTCGTTAGCCGCTTGGGCAATCGGTCACATCTGTTACGCACTGTTGGCAAGTACTGGGCATGCACCATCTCCTGAATGTACCTGAACCTGCTCCAGTGTTGGTCAAGTCTGGTCTTGAAAAAGCTCACACTCGTTGCCATCACAACACTCTGGTAGATTATTCCAAGAGTTCACAACTCTCACTCCGAAAAAGTTTGCCCTCGCAGTTTTCTGGACCTGTGGCTTCTTCAACCTTGAGCTGTGACCCCTTGTGGGGCGAGCGTCTGTCAGCTCCAAGTAAGGGTACTCGCTGAATAGTGCCCCTTAAGGTGTTTATACACTTCAATTAGGTCACTAGGTCACCCCTTGCCTGTCTGTAGTATAAGCTAGGCAATTGCAGGCACTCTAATCTCTCAGGGTAGCTAAGGTATCGTAGTGCTGGCACCAATCTGGTGACCCTCCTTTGGACATTTTCAACCAACTGACAGTCCCTAGCATATCTCGGGGACCAAACGGGGTGACAGTACTCTAGATGGGGAAGCACTTCATTCTTGAAGATCATTACGAGGAACGGACCGTCTAGATATTTGAACGACCTTCTTAGAAGACCTAATACTGTAATTTAGTTGCCTGATTCACCTTCTAACAATGGCCCGAGAACTTCAGTTCATTGTCAACATACACTTAGGTCCTTTTCACAGTCAGTCTCAATTAATGCAGTTTCTTTGTCCCGTTGGGACATATGATACGCCTCCTTACGGTTGGTACATCCTCGGTGCAGTCTCTTATACTTTGTGACATTGAATTTTAGCAGCCATTTATTCGACCATTCTTGAAGCTCACAGAGATCCTTCTGCAGTTCTTCACAGTCTGTTTGTTTCTTAATTTTCCGAAATAACTTGGTGTCATCCACAAACATTTGTATGGAGGAATGAACAACGTCAGACATGTCATTTATGAAGCAAACAAACAACAGTGGGCCCATTACACTGACCCAGTGGTACCCCACTTGTGACGGGTACACATGATGATTTCGTGCCATTAATCACCACACACTGCTTGCAGTCGTGGAAAAAGTCTCCAATCCATGCAAGGACATTTCCACTTTAATTTTCAGTCTTTTATGGGTACACTGTCGAAAGCCTTGGCAAAATGTAGGTACAGTCAACCCTCACTTTATGCGGTCCCACATTCCGCGTTTCCACGTTTACGCGGTGCCCTGCCAGAACCCAGGATGCTCACATTCCGCGGTGGGTGTACCCCTTTACACGGGTGAAGTATAATTTTTTTATTTAGCTCATAAAATTCATACAAATTATCCGGCCAGAATATAATTTACATTGCTGGAATTCTTACAATTTGATGATCATTTTGAATATAAACATCATAGTTTTTGCATTAAACATACAAATTTTAGATATAATGTTTACTCTGAGTAAATATGTTATCTTTTGTGCAAAATATATGACATTTATATTCAAAATATTCCAGGTCTTACAAGGAATCTAGCAATGTTAATTATATTATCCTAACTTTAGTCTGATTTATTATTTATTACTAAAAAGGTAAACAGTCTGGTATTCCCACACATTTATCTGGGAGGGAGGGACCGGCGACCGACTACCTGGCATGTGTGAAGAATATTATTTTTTTTTTATTAACTGAAGATTTTTATTTTAGCTCATAAAATTCATACAAATTACCCGGCCAGAATATAATTTACATTGCTGGAATTCTTACAATTTGATGATCATTTTGAATATAAACATCATATATTTTGCATTAGACATAAAATTTTTAGATATAATGTTTACTCTGAGTAAATATGTTATCTTTTGTGCAATATATATGACATTTATATTCAAAATATTCCTGGTCTTACAAGGAATCCAGCAATGTCAATTATATTATCCTAACTTTAATCTGAGGTATTATTTAATACTAAATGTTAAAATCTAGTTTTTTCACCCACTCTTTCTCTTGAAGGGAGGGTTGGTGGGAGGTGGGGGGAGGGTTGGGACGGACTGACCATCTGGCTCGTTGGAAGAGGGGGGAGGCAAGGTGGGGTACTTTGATTGACAGATAGTGTCGTGAAGAATATTTTTTTTTTTATTAACTGAAGATATTTGTTTTAGCTCATAAAATTCATACAAATTACCCGGCCAGAATATAATTTACATTGCTGGAATTCTTACAATTTGATGATCATTTTGAATATAAACATCATAGATTTTGCATTAGACATACAAATTTTAGATGTAATGTTTACTCTGAGTAAATATGTTATCTTTTGTGAAAAATATATGACATTTATATTCAAAATATTCCTGGTCTTACAAGGAATCCATTAATGTCAATTATATTATCCTAACTTTAGTTTGAGGTATTATTTATTACTATACCTGGTTTTCCCCCAAAAATTTCTCAGAGGGAAGAGCCAGTGAGTGTACTGTGAGAAGAGGGGGAGGGAGTGGAGTCCATTATTTGAATGGACATTAACTTGGCGACTGTATTTCTCTATTTCTCTTAAGTATTAATTGTGTGCATGTACCATCATAAAATTAAGATGTTATTTTTACTAGAACATAGGTATTGTGTTGGAAAAAGTGGAGTTTGGGGGTCAGCTGGTCTCTATTTCATTTAATCCCATATGCTATGTTATTCACTTTATGCGTTTCTCACTTTCCGCGGTACCCTGTGGGTTACATTAACCACGTAAAGTGAGGGTTGACTGTATATATTATCGATATTGCCACCCTGCTCCAGAATTTGGGTCCAAATATCCAGTACCTTGAGTAATTGTGTTAAGCAGGAGGGCCCTGGCATAAAACTGTGTTGGCAATCCTTTATAAGGTTGTTTCGTAGTAGATGTCCCATCATTACATCTCTTATAATGCTCTCAAATTCCTTACATGCTATGCTGGTCAGGTTCGCCGGTCTATATTTGTTCGTGGAGTGACGATCGCCCTTCTTGAAGATAGGACTCACATAAGCCACTTTCCAATCACAGGGGACCTTTTACTCATTCAGGCATTTACAGAACAGGATCATCAGGGGCTCAGCAAGCTCGTTGCACAACTCTCTTGGTACTTTGGGATGCATCGTGTCAGAGCCGGGACTCTTATGAACCTTTAGTTTTGACAGTTTATTTCTTATAACCTCTTCTGTGAACACAATGTGGGTCAGTGCTGTGTCGAACCGTCTGTCCTCAAATGCAGGAAGGTTAATCGCATCCTTTATTGTGAACACCAAGGAAAAGAAACTGTTCAATGCCTCAGCTTTGTCCTGGTGAGAAGCTGCATAACTACCATCTTTAAGCCTCAGGTCTGATACTCCTACAGTACTCGCGTTTTTAATTTCGACTTTGCATTGCGGTAAAATGCCTTTTTCGATTGACTTGACCTCGCTTCCAACCAGCCTGTGGAACTCCTTTTGAGCCCTTCTACACTCTTGACTTTGCTTGGTTTCTGGCTCTTGCATACATCCTCCTGTCCTGCTCATCGTTTGACCTAACCCATGCCTTGAATTTCTGGGTTTTCTTCTTAACTTTGTCGACCGCCGCATGGTTCATGTGTAAGGGTCTCCTTGTCTTCCTAGAGGCACTGGGTTTAGTCTTGGGTATATATTTATCGATCAAATGGTTCACTTTACTAGTTATTTATATTCAGCGTACAGTGAGCTCTGCCATAAAACGCGTGTTTTGACAACGCGAATTTGCTCTAACGCGATTTATGAATAGAGGAACGATATTTGTATAACGCGAACGCTTGTTTGCTGTAACGCGATTTTTGCTTACTATTTCTCCAATTTTGTGGTATTAACTGTGAATATGGTAAAGAAGAATATCTCCAAGAAGCGTTCTGGTGATCGCATTCCCGGTGATGATCGTAAAAGAAAGGCAATAACCCTTGAAGAGAAGCTCTATGTTATCAACCTCAAAATCACCCTTCTCCCCCATCAAGTT